GAAGGTGTGGCACACATGGCGCCTTGGCAATGTGCCAGGAAAGACGGAAGGAGGAGAAGATGAGGAGGAGGGGGGGCATATGTACGCATGATGATGTGGCACATGCAAGCGGAGGCACATGTGTGGAAGCCACCCAATCCGCGAACCCTCCTCCGGGCTTCCACACGGGCAGACCGCTGTCGTGCTGGACACATACACACACACACACACACTTACAGGCGGGCACGGTCGTCGGGCCCCTTGTCGGCGGTGGCCGGGACCATGAATGCCGCCGAGGAGAGGCTGGCCAGCTCGCCGACCGTGGTGCGGATGACCTCAATCGGGGGGCCGTCCTTCCCATGGGCCGGGCGCACCGGGAGGAGCTCGCGGGCCACGACATTCAGCGACTCGTGACCGGTGGTGTTGAGCCAGTTCCGGTGGCCGGGGTCCACCGCACAGACAGCCACCTCGAAGTACTGGGCCTTGGGGCAGCTGAGGTCGAAGTCGACGCCGGACTCCTTAGTCATGTGGGCCAGCGAGGCCGGGGCCTCGGAGTACGGAGCGAACACCATCTGGGTATTGTTCAGGTGGATCGTGTGACGGACGTAATCCAGCGACTCGAGCCAAACGTTGTAGAGACAGAGGGAGAAGTAGCGCGCATCGGTGGCCAGACTGATCGGGGGGGAGCGTGAGAAGGATGGGGGTCAGGCCAAGTTCAGGTGTGACAGGGATGGTGAGAGGACACCTTTGCCTCCGCGGGTAATGATCGATCTGAGACAAAGAAGATAGCAGGGGGGGGGGGGCAAGAAAGCATATTCGCATACGCACCCACGCAGGATGTACACCGGGTAGCCGGAGGTGTCCTCGTTCTGGGCTGACGGCCCGGGGGTACCGTCGTCCAGGTAGCTGGCCGGCCGGAGGGCGTCCAGGTGAGCAACGCGGTAGCGGTTGTCCAGGGTCGGGAAGAGGTTCGTGTCGTCGGCACTGATGAAGCGCCGGCGGGCACGGGCCATGAACATCTTGTGGGCAACCATGGTCCCATGCAGGGTGGACTCGATGTTCCGATGCATGAGATCGGCACCGGTCATGTAGAACTGGACGGCGGCGCCGGCGCCCGGGGCCTCGCCCTCCGGCAGGCGGACCAACGACGGGTCGACCCCCGAGTAGTTCATGGCATTGTCGCAGGACACACGCTCGATGAAGACTCGGATCGGGGCCTGGGTGCTGCGATCGGAGAAATACTGGCGGAAGATGATGCCCACCTCGTCGCCGACGCCGAGGAGGACCTGGTCGCGCGAGGCGCCGGCCGGCAGGCGATCCGGGTTGGCGGTCAGGAAGATCTCAAAGCGCCCGGCCGAGTCGAGGCGGAAGTCGGCATCCGGCATATGGGCCCCCGGGGCACCGCGGCCGCGGTAATACTGCAGCCCGAAGTAGAGGGGATTGTTGCCGACAATTTGGCCCCACACCCGGTACACGCGGTTGCCCTTGAGGACGATGTTGGCCCGCAGATAGTCGGTATCCGGGGAGTCGGCGTAGAATTTGCGCGTCGGGCCGCAGGAGGACACGAAGTTCGGGGCGTCCGGCGACCAGTTTTCCAGGTACATTTCCATGCCCATGCCGAAGGAGCGCAGAAGGAAGCGCCGGCCTTCCAGGCGGTCCAGCGTGTCGGGGACCGTGTCGATGAGGGCATTCCACTTGGTCAGGGTATCCAGGGACTTGCGCGCCTGGGTGCCATCCAGGGGGAACATCAGGTCGCCGGTGGCGGCCGACGGGGCCTGCGAGGGGGGACCGTGCTCGGACATCTTTCGGGTGCTGGGGGTGGGCTTTTTTCGTCTTCGGTGAGGGGCGTGCAGGGGAAGTGCAAGGGCAGGTGGGGGGGG